CAGCGGCTTCGCCCCCGTCTTCCTGCAGTTCCTGGACTGCGTGCACCAGGTCAGCTCCCAGCGCACCCCCGAGAGCCCCCGGGGCTGCGGTTCTGGGGGTCCCGGGGGTCTCAGCCGCGCCGCTCCTTGCAGATCCACCTGCAGTTCCCCATGGAGTTCGAGTTCAGCCTGTACTACCTGAAGTTCCTCAGCTACCACTACGTCTCCAACCGCTTCCGCACCTTCCTGCTGGACTCCGACTACGAGCGCATCGAGCTGGGTGAGGGCAGCGTGCGGAGGGGGCCGCGAGACCCCCGTCCCACTCCCTTACCCTGAAATAACGCCCCCCTTCCCCGCCCGCGGCCCCGCAGGGCTCCTGTACGAGGAGAAGGGCGAGAGGAAGAGCCAGCAGGTCTACAAATCTGTCTGGGATTACATCGACCGCCTCAACAGGAAATTCAACTACATGTACGCCCCCGAGGATGGCGAGGTGAGCGCTGCGCCCCTGCCCGGCCGCACATGAGCCCCATGGGGTGCAGAGAGCGTGGATGGGACACCCTGGGGTCTTCCACTGAGACCCCAGGGTCTTGCAGTGACACCTTGGGGTCTTGCAGAGTCACCCTGGGATCTTGCAGGGACACCCCGGGGTCTTCAAGGGACACCCCAGGGTCTTCCAGGGACACCCTGGGGTCTTCAAGGGACACCTTGGGGTCTTGAAGGGACACCCTGGGATCTTGCAGGGACATCCTGGGGTCTTCCAGGGATACCCTGGGGTCTTGCACCCCAGGGTCTTCAAGAGACACCCCAGGGTCTTCAAGAGACACCCCAGGGTCGGGTCTTCCAGGCGCCCCCTTGGGTCTTCCAGGGACACCCCGGGGTCTCATGGCCCTGATGGAGCCAAGCGAGCAGCCCCACAGTGGCCAGACCACGGTGTTTGCCCACCCGAGCTGTGCTGTGGGGCATGGGAAAGGTCCCTGGGGGGCACAGGCAGAGCTGGGGTCTCTGGGGAGGGGTTGGGGGGACACAGGATCATCATGGGGTCATAGAACCACAGCATCCCAGGCTGAAGGGACCCCAGGGACCATCCGGTCCAACCTCTGGAGGTAACAGCATAGTTTAAATGAGAGCAGTCA